ATATATATATATATATGTATATATAGATCTGTAGTTACTAGAGTAACTGTTCTTTTCCAGCGCATCCAGTGGTTGGATCAGAGGATGTTGGAACGGTTGTATTTTTTATATGTACTTTGAATCCAGTAAGTTAAAGAGTAAAATTTTCAGTGATCCAACAATTTTGCTATCACTCAGGAGTTCCTGGTTGGGGATTATGTGTTGTGTGTGTAAGAATGTCAGTACAACTAAACCTGGCTTACAGGCATTTGAATAAAACAGGTTAGGTTGGTTCTTTTGTATATGTTTGGATGATCATTGTTTTCTTCTCATTTCCAGGTTTATGGAAATGCAATATGGTTTGAAAAACAGGTAGCAAGGAATTAACAAAGGAATACATAATGGGGCATCTTCTAAGAGGTGTTGGATGTCGCACTGTAAATAAAAAGTGGGATGCAGGGAACAAAAATGGTTTTTATGGCCCATTATCTGTTAATCTCCTTATGATGCTGTTAGCAATATACCTTATATGTCCACACAGTGGGAATCCTGTTTAGGGAGGTTGAAGTATTAGTATTAATAAGTGGTAAAACCACAATTGCACAGCTGTTACCTATTTATCTCCACCAAACTACCTAAACCGATTTGGAGGGGAGATGGGAGTTTGGCTAGTCCTCTAAAACCTGTTGGTTTGTAAATAAGGAAATGAGACTCATGGCAAGTGCTTGAGATAGTTGGAGCCATAACTTTCTTTCCAGAGATGCTGCTTTTGCATTAATAATACAGAAGTAACAATAGATTATAGAGATTTAAATTATTACTGTAGTGGAAAATGATATTTTAGTTTCATAAGAAATATACTTCATTAGAAAAAAAAAATACTTTGTTAGAATCTATAAGGTCACTTGTCACCAAACTTCCCCCAAAGGGAAAAATGTTCTTTTGACCAAGAGCCCAAAGTGGTAACTAATACTATTCCTACCAAACCCTAAGTATAAGTAGATGCTAATTTAAATGTTTCAGTGTGTAACCTGAATTTTAGAAGCAGAAAGATGATGCAGGAGTGTATGGCAAAGGTTACTAAGAAAAGACTTAACTCTTTTAAAAGGTCTTTTCCCTTTGAGGAATTTGAGCAGTAGTATTTGCAGGAGAATCCTGAAAACTTCAGTGACTTATGAAATAAATTGCATGCAATACCAGGAAACAGTCTTAACAGCTAACATAACTCATGGCTTGGACAACATTTACTTACCATGTATATCAAATTTCAGTAATTTTTCTGTAATGTTGCATTTAGATAAGGCTTTTGTTCTTTATTTTTACAGAAAAATTAGGTTAAAGATGTCTTTCAAAGTACATCTAAGAATTATTGCATTAGTGTGCAAGGAATATATAAGAAATAACCATAAGATCTAAAGACCAAAAGCATGCTTAGGAATTGAAAGGGGGAGGAGTGTGACTTCAGTAAGGTGCATTTAGTAGGGCAAAATTGGTTGCCATCTTATTTTTTTAAACTGAAGTTCACCACATTTGCTACCTCATTATACATTTATTCAAATTTATATTTCTATCAACTATTATCTGAAATTCCCCAAATTTTTATTAATCTGACTTTTAGAAATTTCCTTAATTTAGAAACAGTTGAAGTAACTTGCTCAGCTGAAATGAAATGAAACTCCATTAATTTAATGTGTGGTTAAAGATGTGCTGGTAAAATTACGAATTTTCAGAAATTACCACATTTCTCCTGATAATTTAGTCATAAAAATGAAGTCCAAATAACAAACACGTATTAAACTGATGTATAGGTTCTTTTTGGCTTGGCACACATTAAAATTTCAACTTTGTCTTGTACATGCTGATGTTAACAGTTTTTGCCTGGCATTATACGTGCAGTAGTAGACATAAATGGCTTGAGGTGATGCTTTTAATTACAGTTGCCCCTTGAATGTGGGTTTGAACTGTGTTGTTCCATTTCATACGGATTTTTTTTTTCAATAAATACAATATTGTAAGTATTTTTAGATTTTCACAATTGCTTGAGCTTGCTTTAAGAATACAGATACACCTATAACAACAAAATATGTGTTGATTTTTACATTATTGGTAAGAGTTCTGTAACAGACTTAGTTAAGTTTGGGGGGAGTCTGAAGTTAAGGCATTAGGACGGGAGTGGTTGGTGCTCCTTCCCTCTTTCCTTAGTTCACAGGTCAGGCAAACTGAAATTATCTAAACAATAGTGGAACATTTTATCATCTTGAAGTGGTTGCTGCTGTTTTTCACCAAGTTTTTACAGATAAATTAATCCTTATTTACTGGAAGTAAGCTGATGAATATTCACACTGTAGTTAATACAGTAGGAATCCTTGTGTAGGGTTTTACTTTTTGATCAAATACACACTTTGTTTAAAAAGAAGCAGTTTTTGCATGTACATTTACATTTTCCTCAAGGTAAAGAAGCGTTGGGTGTGTGTGAATATCTGACTTACTAAAAATGGAAGCCGAGTTATTTTCAGACAATGCAAATTTCCTTTATTTCCTCTAGTTTACTTGGAGGATGTAGGAGCTAAGAGGTCACAGCTTAAACTTCACAAAGTAAGTTTGCTAAATATGAAACACGGTATTGAGATACTCCATTTTATTTCTTTTAAAACCTCATTAAGTTAGCTTTACATTAAATTTCAAACGAATTCCTTAAATGTTTTAGGCATATTAAAAGCCACTCCTTTTTTTTACCCTTGTGACAAAGTCATGAATAATGCCACCTGCCCCCCCCCCCCTTCCTGGTGTTGTCCTGGGAATCAGTCCCTGACTTCAAACGGGTTTGCAATCTGAGCCTTTTAAAAAAACTATTTCCTAAAAGTGGCCGCCCGCTTATTTTTAAACCAGCAATTAGGGGAAATGAAGTTGTTTTCTTCTCAAAGATTTACCTGGACTCGTATGAATGTATTCGGTACCTCCCGTGCCTCACTGTCTGTGAGCACAGCAAACCAGTCCTGACAAAATGTTAACAGTCCCGGTTGAAACGTACATTAGATCATGTTTAAGATTTCCACAACGGAATACTTAGCCATAAAAATCTTCCAGCGTTCTACTGACAAGTCCTCTAAATGAGGTATTTCACCAGACACTGAGTTTAGTAGGTAATTCAGCTAAAGAAATACACTTTGTAGGAATACTGTCTGGTTCAGTGCATCTGAACGTTCAATCCTGGAGGGGAGGGACAGGTTTGTTTTCGGTTTTTTTCCCCCAAGCGTGTTGTAGGTATACAACGTGCTTCACTTTTTTTCAAACTGGACTGCACAGACGTACAAACAGTCGAAGTGACTTGTTTCTGCCAAATGCTCCCCGCCGCCAGCCGTTCCAGAAGGTCCTCCTCGGGACCTGGCGCCGCTGGGCTCCCGGTTCTGTCCGTCGCGGGCGGGCCGGCCGCTAGTGGGCGCTGTGGGTCCGTGGAAGCCGCCGTCGCGTGGCGCTCGTCCAAGGCGTCCTCCGGGCAGCCCCGGCCGAGAATCCCAGTGAAGAATTCCTGCCACCTCTGCGTTTGGGCGCTGTGTGTCACCGGTGTCACCGACACCCCCAAACTCTCGGCCACCTTGGGGCTGTTGGGGCTGTGAGAGCGTGTCTCCGAGGCTAATTAAGGAGGAGGCCAGGAGGTCCCGCGGCGGGAGGCGAGGTGGGGAGGGACTGCCGGCAGCCCCGCCAGCGCCTCGGCCCCGGGAGTCGCCTAGCACCCCTCGGCCCCGTTCACCTGGGTCCGGGCCCCGCCGCCCATGGGAGCCGAAACCCGCTGCCGAACACCCCGCTCCGAGGCCTGCTGGGCTGCGGGCAGCGCAGGGACGCGCGTGCGGGCCGTGAGCCTGCCTCGCACAGGGGACGCTGCACCGAAAGGAGGAGGACCCGCGGGGACACCCACTGCCTTCCGCTCCGCAGGGAAAGTTTCGCCCTCGACGCGGCCCCTCCGCTGGAGTTGGGGCACTTGGCGGGCAATGCAGGCGCGAGCCGGGCGCGGGCACAGCCGGCCCCGCGTGTCCCCGCTGCCCTTTCGGCCGTCCTGCCCGGCACCCCCACCCCGCTGCCGGAGGGGCGCCGGGGCCACGCGCTGGGCACCGCCCCCACCCCCACCCCCACCCCCACCCCCACCCCCACCCCCGCCGCCACCCGCCTTCGGCGGCGGCCGGGGCCGAGCTCCCCCCTGCGCCACCGCCCGGGGCCGGGGCCGGGGCCGGGGCCGGGCCGGGGCCGGGGCCGGGGGCGGGGCTCACCTGTCAGCCGGCGCCCCGCCTCGCGGCGCCCAATGTCGGGCGGGGGCGGATGACGGACGGGCCTGCCGCCCAACCGGCGCGCGGCTGCCCTGCGGCGGGCCAATGGGCGGCGCGGCACGGGGCGGGGCCCCGCGTTTATAGTGCTCTGACAGCGCGCCGGCCGCGCTGACTCTCCTCGGCGGGGACGGCGGCGCCGGCCGGAGCGAGGAGCCGCGCGCGCAGAGGGTCCCGGCGCCCTCCCCGCACACAAAGGCCCGCGCGCGTCCGGCGCCCGCGGCGGGGACCGAGCCCGCTCCCCCAGGTCGGGAGCCGCGAAGACCGAGGAGGCTCCCGCGCGCCTGGAGGCGCCCCTCGCCGCTCGCCGCTCGCCGCTCGCCGCTCGCCGCTCGCCGCTCGCCGCCCGCCGCCCTGCGCCCCTCGCTCCGGGACATGGAACCGCGCCGACGCGGCGCCCGCGCGCTCGGGCCGCTGCCCGCCCCCCTGGATCTATAGTGCGAGGCGGTCCGCTCGGAGCGCAGCGCCCGCCGCCCGCGCGACTCGTCTCGGTCTTTGTGTCCCGGCCGCGCGCCCTCCCTGCCGCCCGCGCCCGGCACCCTGGAGTCGCACGGGAGCCTGCCGCCAGAGCTGCGTCCGGCGCGGCGCCCCGGAGCCCCGAGCCCGCCGCGCCGCCGCGCCGCCGCCCCCGCCCCCGCCCGCGCCCCCGCCCGCGCCCCCGCCCGCGCCCCCGCCCCGCGCGCGCGCCCCCGCCCCCGCCCCCGCCCCCGCCCCGCGCCCTGAGGGCCCCGCGTGGAGCGCCCCGACCTCGGCGACGGCTGGAGCCGCTCGGCGCGTCCCGGAGCCGCGTGCGGTCCGCCCCTCGCCCGCGCGGAGGATTGGGGTCGTCCGGAGCGTGCGGAGCCGGCAGCGGCTGGGCCATGGCCGCCAGGAGGGACTCCGTGTGGAAGTACTGTTGGGGAGTTTTGATGGTTTTATGCAGAACTGCGATTTCCAGGTCGATAGTTCTAGAGCCCATCTATTGGAATTCCTCGAACTCCAAGTAAGTGGCGTCCGCGATCCCCCTCGGTCCCCGCCTGGGGTCCGCCGCGCCGGCCGGGTGGGAGGGAGGACCGGGCCGCGGAGCCTCGGAGTCCGTTTCTGGAGCCCCCGCACCCGCACCCCACCCGCACCCCACCCCACCCCAGGTTCCCTGTCCCCCACCCTTGCCACGTTTTTCCTGGTGAAACTCTTCGCCCCGCTTTCCAGCCGGAGCGCGGGCTCTAAGCGGCGTCCTCTCCCCGCCTCCCTTTCCCCGTGAGCTCCCGGGCTTAGCTTGAAGGCCCCTGGCGGCTCCGGTGTCCTGTTGGGGAAAGTGTCCGGTGGCGACCCCCGACCCTCCCTTCTTTTCGAGCACCGAGAGCAGGGCCGCGAGCGGGGCCGGCCGCGGGCGCGCGGGCGCTGGCGGGCTGCGGGGAGAGGCGGGGATGCTGCGCTCGCCAGGAGCGCCCGAGCGCGGCCGACCCCGCAGGCGGGCGGGCACTAGGCGTCCGGGGCAGGAGACGGAGCCTGCGGGCCGCGGCCGCCCCCTGCGCCCCGGTGTGCGCGGGGAGCTCGCCAGCCCCGCCGGAGACCTCGGGCGGCAGCCCGCCCTCCCCTCCCAGGCGGGGAGACGGGCCTTGGGTCGCTCCCGGAGAGCCCTCTGCACGTCGGCCTCTCTCTTCCGAGCCAGTGGCGCTGAACTCCGTGCGGTCCAGACAGCTTATTTGATTTTAAGGGCGGCTTTTGCAGAAGCTTGAGGCCCTGCCCAGTCGACACAGCAACCGAAGCCTGGCGTTTGGGGAGCCTGGGAAGGAATGGGACCCTTGGATCTGACTTGCTTTTATCAAACAGGGTAGCCGGGAGAAAGCCAGGTCTGGTGGAGAAGAACTTTGGGTGTGAGCTACCCAAACAATACGTTGAAAATTTAGAAAAGGCGATTCGTCCTTAAGTAGGTACGGCCGCGACTTCTGTTTAGTTACCTGCGCATTCAGTTTTGCATCTTGGCTCCTTGTTGGAATACAGTTTTAGTCAGATCCAAAGGTATTTTACGGAATCATGGAATTTTAGCCTTGAGAAACTTGGAAAAAGTGTGGAGACATTGGCGGGCTCCTCGAGTAAGCGTTGGGGATCAGAAGGAAAATCAGTGGCCTGATTTTAGAGGACAAGTAAGTTGGCCATGGATTTAGTAGTAAAGAGATGGGGAATTGATTTACAAGTCAAATTTTAATTAAAGAGTTATATCCATCCTTTGAAAAGTCGTAGATTTCAAATTCACCAACGCGTTTTACGGAGAATTCCCTAAGTTAGGGGCAAGAAACGTCCCAGTCTTGAATCGGATTAAATGCAGCCTTAGCATGATGCTGGATGGTACTTCCCACCACCGCTCATATTTAAAAGTCCCCTAATGCGACCTCCTTCCGTGCAGCCCGGTTTCGCATGGACTAGCCTTTTTCCTTGATGTAAGATCTGTATTTACCGGAAAAGTAGTTGCAGTGACATCGTTAACACCGATACGGAATTGTGAGGCACCAGCTGGTGCGGGGAAGCGCGGGGCTTGGACCTGCGCGCAGCAGCCTACGTCCGGGCGAGGCGGGCTCCGGGGGCCCCCCGGGCTCCAGGGCTCCCGGGCTCCCGGGCTCCCGGGCTCCCGGGCTGGGCGGGCCTGCGAGAGGCCAGCCAGTGTTCGCTTTGCGCCTACAGAGGTCACTCTTCCACGCGCAATGCTCGCGGCGCCAGCTCTCACCTCTTCCCGCCGGCCTTCTGCTCCGCTCCACTTTACACTTTCGCTGACGGATTGTTTAGGGAGCCTGATTCCCTGCCCCCACCCCTTCCGCCAGGATTTAATATTTACATTTAAATCTTGTTTGAAGAAATTCCCATTAACCCTTCCATTGCACAACTCAGTATAGGTATCTCTGTGTAATACTACTAGGTGTGTAATCAGGAGGAAGATTAGAAATACCCACTTGGAAGAAGAGGTAGAGCCGTAACTGTTTCCACCACATTAGTATCTTCTTTTCCTAATGCATTTGTGGTGTGTGTGTGCGGGGGGGGGGGGGGGGGGACGACTGATGTTTTACTTGCCATCCTGATGATCAATCAGGATTCCTCCGTTTTTCTGTGTGGCGGCCCCAGATTTGAAGACCTGCTGGAGGCCTGCATTTTGGAGACGCCTGCCTCCCTGCACTGATGAGGTTTCTGTTGCTGTGATTGCTCTGGTCCTCAAGAGTAGAATTTCTTTTAAAATTCTCATGATAATGACTTGCGTGGAGGACTGGATAATTTGTCCCTGGAAAAGGTCTGCTTAAGAAAGTATGCAGCTGAATGCTAGCTTGAGAGATCAGAAAGATTTCTTCCTGGAGGAGTGATATGAAAGAGCCTTTTCTAAGTTGGAGAATGAATAAAAACCCCTAGTGCCAAGGGGTTGCTTTATTTGGGGAAGTTGCGTATTTATTTCCAGGGAAAAGTTGCAGTCTGTGAATACGATGTGGCACGAGGGTGATCAGAGGCAATTGAGGTTTCACATCAGTTCGTAGGAACTGTGGAACAATTCATTTGTAATGAAGCAGCCATCGGTAATTAGATTTGTTTCATTCAGAGGTCAGCTTTTTTAGCAGGTGGTCAATGTAGGGAACAGGAGCAGCTGTTTGGATGCAGCGTCCAGAAAATCCTTTGTAAGTTCACCGTCTCCATAACTACTTTAATCACACTGTCTGCTGCTCCCATCCCAGAGAGTTGATGCAGCAATCAAAAGAAGTTCTGTGTGCTGAAACATTAGCAACTACCCTGTGAGGTGGATTACTCATATCGCGTCCACAGGCTCCGGTGGTGTTGCCTCAGTTGTAGTCCTAGGTTGCCGAAGCTGTTTTCTTTTTTATCCTCCCCGCCCCCCTTTTCAACTCAGTAGAGAATAGCAAAGCCTGGCTTTTCATTTCCAATTAACATTTCAGTAGAACAATTTTTCCAAGCATGATGAATAGTTGCCCCTTCTAAAGAAAAAAAATCCATTTTCGAGTGAGCAAGGCTGTATTCGTATGATGCTCTACAACGAATTGCACTGACTTTGCTGGAAATTTCAATGGAGTGTTAATTTCTTCTGTCTGGGGGTACTGTTCCCTGTACACCATATACTAGTTAGTTAACAAAGCGTTTTGCTTTTCCCATGTAATTTTTTCCCTGCACAATACGGAATTCCTGATATTGATTGACTTGATACAAAAGAATGGCTGGATAATATCCAGATAACCTATAATATGTGGGCCCCACCACAGCTAGGCTCTGAATAAATACGGACCTGTCAGAGATTGATAAAATAAACTACAATGGATAGTGCTGTTTAAACAGCCCATTCAACACCATATATAAGCCAGCCTGCCTTCCATTGTGTCTGAAATTCTTATTTTTGTAGGTAAACAAATGCACATTCAACACTGATTGAATAGCCCCTTGAACTATGCTCCACAGTTTGCGTTTGGGTTAATCTTGTCGGTTTTAATATAGAGAGAAAAAAGCACAAAGCACCAGGGGTGGAATTGTTACTGCTTTCCCATCCACATTCCTCACATTTTGTCAGGATGATAAACTAGAGGTAATGGACTGTCGTTGTTTCAGAGGACAACCGAGCCAGGGAGAGCACAAAGACGGAGCTAAAGCGATATCTCACAACAGGCTTGTTCGCCCTCTTTTCAGGCGAGAAGAGAATTTATTTGGGAATCGTGTGTCTAGGGACTGCACTTTTTAACCTCGGCAATTACAGCTTCAAGCCTCAGGAACGGGAGCTGGAGGTTAAGATGATTTGTTAAGTACTTGGTTCTAAATCTTTCACAAAGCATAGCTGTTGACACTTGTCCTACCGACGCAAAGAAATGCAAATGACTGCAAATTTTGAACCGTTTCTGGCTGGTGTCTAGGCCAAAGTGTGTTAGGACAGGTGAATTAGCCATCATCCCCAGACCATCTAAAGAGCACAGATTGGAATGGTTTCTCCATATGGAGTTAGCTTGAAGAATAATCAGTATATTTTGATTACTTATTGCAAAACCTCTTGTCAGTAAAGTTACTGAGAGAGATCCTTTGGTTGGTGGATCAGTGTGGTGATTATGCTCAGAGGGACGTTGCAGTCGGAGCAACTAAATCCTTGCTACCTTTGCTTTCCACCAACTTGGTCGGGGGGGGGGGGGGTGGGGGGGTGGCTCCCAGGAGGTTGAGTGTGGCATCTACCGTACTGTGATGTTTCCCAGAGCGTGTGCCTGATGGGAGACGGTCTGAGATCCCAGCATGACTGCAGTGATGCGTCATAGGAATGGGAGTGGCAGAGAAAGGAAATACGGAGTGTAGACCCTCAACGAAAGGGACATAATTTTTCCTGTAGGGAGGGTTATTCCTTGAACATTTTATGAAAACTTTATTCTTAAACTGTTCCATCACAAAGTAGACACAAAGCGGGGCTCTTGTAAGAAAAAAATAATGATGAAAATGGTACTCCTGTCTGCCTAATCTCTGCTTTCGTTAGCTGCTGACATAAAGAGCCTGTTTTTCAGGTCACTTATCATACATCTACATAGATTTGCTTATGAGCTCAGCTTTTGTGTAGCGGAGGAGAGCTCTAAATGGGAGTGTTCAACTGTTTAAAATATTTTGATTAAAATATGCAGAACCCATAGAACTATAAGCTTCTGGCCAGGAATTAGCTCTTTCAGAGAAGAGCTCCCCCCCCCCCCCCAACACACACACCACCCTTTTTTTTTTTTTTTTAAGGGGTGGGATTAGCATGAGGCTGGGACAGGGTAGAAGAAAAGGAAAGAAGGGAGGATGGCGAATGGGACAGTGTTCGAACAGCTTGGAAAAACTCCTGTGGCTTCATTGTCTCTGCAAAGCCAAAGAATACAAAGACATAAGCAACTCAGCCCTTCTCCCATGATGGAAAACGTAAACCATTGACATGGCCCCCTGTTTAACTTGTTTAATTCTTGTTTTAAATTCAGGGCTACGCCAGCCGTGTGAACTCTGAAGATTTCCTTA